ACGATACACTGTCGGCTATTATCTCGATTGTCTCGTCCACAGGTACGTTGGTGAACAGTGATTCTACGTCCAACGAGGCTCTTATCCCTGTGGCCCGTGTGCCCCGCAGTAAGTCAACAAATTCCTTTGGAGACTTCAGGCTGAAGGCACAAGGGACATAAGGAGTCAGCAGGCCGTTGAGTCGCTTCGCCAGTCTGTACGTGGGTGTGGGTATCTGGCTAATGATTGGCCGAAGTGGGTTTCCAGGCTTGTGTGTCTTGACATTTCCATACGCATATCCAGGTTTATATTCCCCAATAATCTTTGGCAGGTGGAGTCCGGATTTCTTGGCGTTCACAGTTTCGATCAGTTTGTTGACCTTTGCTTTTAATTCGGCTGTAGTGTCCTTCGTTACCCTTTGGAATTTAGTTTGGTCAGAGAGTATGAGGTTCATTTTCGCCAGATATTCGTCTTTTTTAAGAATGACGTATATTGGCGACTTGTCGCCTCTCCTGACAACTATCTCCTTGTTCTCACGAAGGCTTTTAGCTGCCGCTTTGAGCTCGGGGGACAGTATGGTGCTTCTGTAATTGCCTCGAATCTTTCCTCCTTCCGCAATAAGTTCTGCTTGTAAGGTATCTTTGGTAGTGACCTTCTTTTGTGTCTCGAGGTCGAATATGTCGTCCAACAGGATTTCCAACTCCACTTTCCGGGCCATCTCACTCGGTCTGGACATAACGTGACAGTTTATACCCAGATTTAGGAGAGTGATTTGGTCCTCAGTGAGGTTAATTCCTGCTAGGTTCAGGAAGCCATCTCTTGGTCGTGGTATTGCCATAGGTCCTCCATATAACGTTGTTAGTTTCTTGATAATCCTTGTTTCAGTGCTGAGGTGATGTCGGTCTGTGAGGATGTCGAGGTGTTGTTCAATGCGGGTACGGAGACTTTCGTCGATGTTGCTATTTCTCCATTCGTTTGTAGCATGAAGTAGTTGCGTTTTGTCTTTGATTTCATTTTCCGCCTTGTATATCTGATCACGAATCAGATCCTGGCGATATTTTATCGTGAAGGCTTGATTCCTTGCTGCTGGGTCGTGCGTTTTAATATTAGTATATTTTGGTAGCAGTCTTTCCTGTAGACATATATTATTAAATATGACCGAAAAAGTAAGATTAATAATTCTAACACGAATTTTCTCTATCTTTCGTACATTTCTTTTCACTGTTGGTGGTAATTCAAAAATCAATTCTCCAAAATTCATTTTTATTTCTAGTCTGACGCGACACTTGAGCGCGTTGAGGAAAGTGAAACGCCATGCAACCTCTGAAGAGACAACTAACACAACACCTATACCCCCTATTAGACTATTTTACAGGAACTTCTTTTCCACAGCTCATAAAACGGAGGAAAGGGTCCTGAAAGATATTGTTAATAGAAACGTTATCCCTACAGACAAAAATCAGAGGATACAACTGACGATTTACTATAAAACCAGAAAAACGGCCAGCCTACTCATGAGAAACACTCCTGACACAAAGCAGAATGCTTTAAAAAGAGACAAACGTCGTCTATGCCTTCAAATGCCCTCTTGGGGACTGTAAGCCAAAAAAACCCAGTATATAGGCAAGACAACAACATCTCTTTCTAGGCGTTTAACGATGCATAAGCAACAGGGCTCCATTAAGGAACATATAATCTCTTCCCACAACCAAACCATCGCCAGAGAAATCCTAGTAAACAACACAGAAATCATCGATAGATACAGCGATAGCAGGCGGCTTGACGTTTGCGAGGCACTACACATTAAAAAGTCAACACCAGCAATCAACAGCCAATTAATGCACAACTATATTCTACCCACCTCAAGACTCCGCTCCAATATAGAAGCATCAAGAAATATGGACCAATAGGCTTTCTACAATCACTTCCATTCAATACCTATTGTTTCGTGTTCTGTCTTGTGTTGATGAAATTAATACCCTATTAATGCCACCTCACCCCATCCACCTCACTCAAATGTAGATATAAACAAATCGGAGATGTGTAAGTTCTATTCAGTTGTGTATGTGTAAACTAAAGTCTTTGAAAATGTAATAAGTTTTACGAAACGTGCTCAAGTGTCGCGTCGGACTAGAAATAAAAATGAATTTTGGAGAATTGATTTTTGAATTACCACCAACAGTGAAAAGAAATGTACGAAAGATAGAGAAAATTCGTGTTAGAATTATTAATCTTACTTTTTCGGTCATATTTAATAATATAGTGTACAGGAAAGACTGCTACCAAAATATACTAATATGTATATATATATATGTATTTATATATGTATTTATATATGTATATATATGTATATATATATGTATATGTATATATGTAAATATATATGTATATATGTGTGTATATATGTGTATATATATGTGTATATATATGTATATATATGTATGTATGTGTATATATGTATGTGTATATATGTATGTGTATATGTGTATGTGTATATGTGTATATATGTATGTGTATATGTGTATATATGTATGTGTATATATGTATGTGTATATATGTATGTGTATGTATGTGTATGTATGTATGTGTATGTATATGTATGTGTATGTATGTGTATGTATGTATGTATATGTATGTATATAATATAATATACAGTGGCACCTCGACATACGATTGCTCCTACTTACGATAATTTCAAGTTACGATGTAAGTTTCATAGAAAAATGCGACTCGACATCCGATGGTGTTGTCGACTTCCGATATTTGTTGGTACATGTTCGGGTTGACCGAGCGCGTGGTTCCCAGTCACGCGGCCGACCTGCCTCAGTTTACTACAGCTGCCCGCTTAGTGACAATCGCGCCTATAAGAAATTCCGCTTTTGTGGTGATTTTTTGCATTTTGAACATTAAAGTAATTATTATATATCATGCCATGAGTCCCAGGAAAGTCAGTGGTAAGACTCAACATATGAAAACCCATGTAAGGATGACCATAGAGCAGAAACAAGAGTACAGAATGTCTCTTCCTCAACAATTAAGAAAATGTGTGCAGCATGGCAAGAATTGCAAACCTTTGCTGAAATGACTCGCCCAAATCAAGCTGCAGTAGGTCGTTACCTTAACCTATTCAATGACACTGTGATGCATCATTACAGACAAATGTTAAAATGAAGGGAAAAACAAATGCCTCTTTACAAATTTGTAGTGAGACAAACAAGCACTGAACCACAGCCAGGTCCTAGTGGTGTTCAGGCAAAACGTAGGAGAGAGAGTACCCCAGAGAAAACATCACTGCCTGATGTGATAATGGAAGGGGACTCCCCTTCCAAACAGTAACAACTCTCCTCCTTCCCCCCTCATCACCATCTTCCATACGCTATCAAGAGCCCTCCATAAAGGTAAGAGAAACTTTGCTACTGTATTGTAGTTAGAAAAAAACATTGTATTCAGTATAAAATGTATTTGTATGTTAATATTTTGGAGGGTGGGGAACGGATTAATTCAATTCTCTTTATTTCTTATGGAAAAATCGCTTCGACTTACGATATTTCGACTTACGATCTGTCTCTGGGAACGGATTAGCATCGTAAGTCAAGGCCCCATTGTATATTATGTGTATGTATGTATGTGTGTGTGCATGCTTGCAAATGAACCACAATGAAAGAAAATCATATGAGGGCTTTTAGATACTTGACACTTCACTATTGTCAAAGACGAAGGGTCAAGTAAAGTGTACGGAAAGGCACAGAAGATTCTCCTATTCCATTGTGTTCATTCTCCTTTAATAAAGCAATGTGCTTGATTTTTGTTGTACACACTGTATATGTGTGTAAGACAATATTGAGACTGGTGGGATTGCAGCTGCATCTCTCAAATCCTCGGGCACATCCACTACCGACTGGACCCTGCCGAGTTAAACATATCTCAGTCAGAAGTACTGCTTGACTTGTATGGAGTTAGGAAGGTAGGTAGTCTGGAAGGTTCAGTAGTATAATCAATGGATATTAGTATCAACATCAGTCAGGTAGTCTGTCTGTCTATCATATCAATAAGACAGATAGGCAGACACACACAGACAAGTAGGCAGGCATAAAGGTATGGTCTGACAAGTAGTCAGTCAGATAAGCAACATAAACACAGACAGATAGACTCAGAAAGGGGAGTCACAAAACCAGTATCTCTCTCCATGTGGATGTTACAAGGTAAGCATTTTCCTCTCCTTTTATTGAGCTTTGATTATCATAACAGTAAACTCCCTGGTAGCCATTTTAGCACTTAATTTTACCAGCAGCACTGAATGGCTTCTTGCTCCAGTGCTTAGTCATGGGCCTCTGTCCTAATAATGCAAGTTTAATCCCAGTACTTTATTCCCACCACATCTTAAGGATGTGACACATGTACAAATTATCTCAAACATTTTGGTGATTCTTCATTTTTTCAAAATTTATAAGACATGTGCATAAAGTACATATACAGTATCTGTACTTCTAGAGAAATACATAGATGAGAGTAGACGTTGTATGTAGATGATGATAAATGTATTTCTCTAGAAGTACAGATACTGGAAATCTGTAGACATAGATGAGAGTAGACGTTGTATGTAGATGATAAATTGCCTTTTGGAGCTCTTTCAAATAGCTCGGATTTTGTAAAAGTCCTGTAGCACAGTGTTTTTGTCCTCGGCTCATAATCAAGGGACCTGGGGTTTATTCCTGGAACAGGACAGAAACAGTTATGCACTTTTCATTAACCTAATGTCTCAGTTCCCTTAGCTATTAAATAGGTACCCAGGAGTTAGACAAGTTTTGTGGCGTTACATCCTGAGCCCACCTAAGGTCAGTAGTGACTTTGGGTGGCTGTAGTCTTAAGTACAGGCTTCCTATCACCAACGATAGGAATTAAATTAAGTCTAACGCAGGCAAAGCAGCATCTTTAAAAGAAGTCTAAGCCCATCTTTTCAAGTCTCATCATTGTCAACACATCGTACCCTCTACAACCAATGCATATTTTTCTCTTTCTAGTATTTGCTACAACTGGTGCAGAGCTTGAAGCATGAACCCTATCTTGACTCACCGCTCCTTAGATTTCTCCTGAGGAAAGCTCTAACCAATGCTAAGATTGGCCACTTCTTTTTCTGGCAGTTGAAGTATGTATTAACTTGTATGAGACAAGTGAACCATGAGTGTGTTGGTGGATGAGCTGAGTGAACCATGAGTGTGTTGGTGGATGAGCTGAGTGAACCATGAGTGTGTTGGTGGATGAGAGCTGAGTGAACCATGAGTGTGTTGGTGGATGAGAGCTGAGTGAACCATGAGTGTGTTGGTGGATGAGAGCTGAGTGAACCATGAGTGTGTTGGTGGATGAGAGCTGAGTGAACCCTGATTGTTGGTGGATGAGAGCTGAGTGAACCATGAGTGTGTTGGTGGATGAGAGCTGAGTGAACCATGAGTGTTGGTGGATGAGAGCTGAGTGAACCATGAGTGTGTTGGTGGATGAGCTGAGTGAACCATGAGTGTGTTGGTGGATGAGAGCTGAGTGAACCATGAGTGTGTTGGTGGATGAGAGCTGAGTGAACCATGAGTGTGTTGGTGGATGAGAGCTGAGTGAACCATGAGTGTGTTGGTGGATGAGAGCTGAGTGAACCATGAGTGTTGGTGGATGAGAGCTGAGTGAACCATGAGTGTGTTGGTGGATGAGAGCTGAGTGAACCCTGAGTGTTGGTGGATGAGAGCTGAGTGAACCCTGAGTGTTGGTGGATGAGAGCTGAGTGAACCATGAGTGTGTTGGTGGATGAGAGCTGAGTGAACCAAGAGTGTTGGTGGATGAGAGCTGAGTGAACCCTGAGTGTTGGTGGATGAGAGCTGAGTGAACCCTGAGTGTTGGTGGATGAGAGCTGAGTGAACCAGGAGTGTTGGTGGATGAGAGCTGAGTGAACCATGAGTGTGTTGGTGGATGAGAGCTGAGTGAACCATGAGTGTGTTGGTGGATGAGAGCTGAGTGAACCATGAGTGTTGGTGGATGAGAGCTGAGTGAACCATGAGTGTGTTGGTGGATGAGCTGAGTGAACCATGAGTGTGTTGGTGGATGAGAGCTGAGTGAACCATGAGTGTGTTGGTGGATGAGAGCTGAGTGAACCATGAGTGTGTTGGTGGATGAGAGCTAAGTGAACCATGAGTGTGTTGGTGGATGAGAGCTAAGTGAACCATGAGTGTTGGTGGATGAGAGCTGAGTGGACCATGAGTGTGATGGTGGATGAGAGCTGAGTGAACCATGAGTGTGTTGGTGGATGAGAGCTGAGTGAACCCCGAGTGTTGGTGGATGAGAGCTGAGTGAACCATGAGTGTGTTGGTGGATGAGAGCTAAGTGAACCATGAGTGTTGGTGGATGAGAGCTGAGTGAACCATGAGTGTGTTGGTGGATGAGAACTGAGTGAACCATGAGTGTGTTGGTGGATGAGAGCTGAGTGAACCATGAGTGTTGGTGGATGAGAGCTGAGTGAACCATGAGTGTGTTGGTGGATGAGAGCCGAGTGAACCATGAGTGTGTTGGTGGATGAGAGCTGAGTGAACCATGAGTGTTGGTGGATGAGAGCTGAGTGAACCATGAGTGTGTTGGTGGATGAGAGCTGAGTGAACCATGAGTGTGTTGGTGGATGAGAGCTGAGTGAACCATGAGTGTGTTGGTGGATGAGAGCTGAGTGAACCATGAGTGTGTTGGTGGATGAGAGCTGAGTGAACCATGAGTGTGTTGGTGGATGAGAGCTGAGTGAACCATGAGTGTGTTGGTGGATGAGAGCTGAGTGAACCCTGATTGTTGGTGGATGAGAGCTGAGTGAACCATGAGTGTGTTGGTGGATGAGAGCTGAGTGAACCATGAGTGTTGGTGGATGAGAGCTGAGTGAACCAGGAGTGTGTTGGTGGATGAGAGCTGAGTGAACCCTGAGTGTTGGTGGATGAGAGCTGAGTGAACCCTGAGTGTTGGTGGATGAGAGCTGAGTGAACCCTGAGTGTTGGTGGATGAGAGCCGAGTGAACCATGAGTGTGTTGGTGGATGAGAGCCGAGTGAACCATGAGTGTGTTGGTGGATGAGAGCTGAGTGAACCAGGAGTGTTGGTGGATGAGAGCTGAGTGAACCCTGAGTGTTGGTGGATGAGAGCTGAGTGAACCCTGAGTGTTGGTGGATGAGAGCTGAGTGAACCACGAGTGTGTTGGTGGATGAGAGCTGAGTGAACCACGAGTGTGTTGGTGGATGAGAGCTGAGTGAACCATGAGTGTGTTGGTGGATGAGAGCTGAGTGAACCATGAGTGTTGGTGGATGAGCTGAGTGAACCATGAGTGTGTTGGTGGATGAGAGCTGAGTGAACCATGAGTGTGTTGGTGGATGAGAGCTAAGTGAACCATGAGTGTTGGTGGATGAGAGCTGAGTGAACCATGAGTGTGTTGGTGGATGAGAGCTGAGTGAACCCTGAGTGTTGGTGGATGAGAGCTGAGTGAACCATGAGTGTGTTCGTGGATGAGAGCTGAGTGAACCATGAGTGTGTTGGTGGATGAGAGCTGAGTGAACCATGAGTGTGTTGGTGGATGAGAACTGAGTGAACCATGAGTGTGTTGGTGGATGAGAGCTGAGTGAACCATGAGTGTTGGTGGATGAGAGCTGAGTGAACCATGAGTGTTGGTGGATGAGAGCTGAGTGAACCATGAGTGTTGGTGGATGAGAGCTGAGTGAACCATGAGTGTGTTGGTGGATGAGAGCCGAGTGAACCATGAGTGTTGGTGGATGAGAGCTGAGTGAACCATGAGTGTGTTGGTGGATGAGAGCTGAGTGAACCATGAGTGTGTTGGTGGATGAGAGCTGAGTGAACCATGAGTGTTGGTGGATGAGAGCTGAGTGAACCATGAGTGTTGGTGGATGAGAGCTGAGTGAACCATGAGTGTTGGTGGATGAGAGCTGAGTGAACCATGAGTGTTGGTGGATGAGAGCTGAGTGAACCATGAGTGTTGGTGGATGAGAGCTGAGTGAACCATGAGTGTTGGTGGATGAGAGCTGAGTGAACCATGAGTGTTGGTGGATGAGAGCTGAGTGAACCATGAGTGTTGGTGGATGAGAGCTGAGTGAACCATGAGTGTTGGTGGATGAGAGCTGAGTGAACCATGAGTGTGTTGGTGGATGAGCCGAGTGAACCATGAGTGTGTTGGTGGATGAGAGCCGAGTGAACCATGAGTGTTGGTGGATGAGAGCCGAGTGAACCATGAGTGTTGGTGGATGAGAGCCGAGTGAACCATGAGTGTGTTGGTGGATGAGAGCCGAGTGAACCATGAGTGTTGGTGGATGAGCTGAGTGAACCATGAGTGTGTTGGTGGATGAGTGCTGAGTGAACCATGAGTGTTGGTGGATGAGTGCTGAGTGAACCATGAGTGTTGGTGGATGAGAGCCGAGTGAACCATGAGTGTGTTGGTGGATGAGAGCCGAGTGAACCATGAGTGTTGGTGGATGAGAGCCGAGTGAACCATGAGTGTTGGTGGATGAGCTGAGTGAACCATGAGTGTTGGTGGATGAGCTGAGTGAACCATGAGTGTTGGTGGATGAGCTGAGTGAACCATGAGTGTGTTGGATGTGTGCTAAGGGAACTATAAGTATGCAGTATGCTGAAAGATGTAGCATACTCCTGTATAAATAATCATAAAAAGTAATTGTTTGAGAAGTTAATACTCCAAGTTAACACGATGCCTCTTGAGTTTGTCTATATACGAGGCTTTTATTCAAAGCAGAAAATCCTGACGAACACCAAAGCAAACTGCTTCAATGGTTGGCACTTAACAGATTTCCAAGACTATAACAATACATTGCTCTGTAAACCTGTTATACATTTTTCTTAATGACTAACATCTTTTAGCACTAAGATTTAATAATAATTGCAGTTACAATATTTGCTACTAATTCTTAATGGAAAATTATAATAATTACCATTTAACAGAAGGTTAAAAAGATAATTCATTTAGCTTGATTTTGGGTAATTTTTCAGGTGTGATATGCAGCTGTGGCCCCGGGCTTTGCGTGCTGCAGCCATATTGGAGGCTTACTGCCGTGGCCTTGGACCGGGCCTCAGGCAAGTTGTTCGTCAAGTGGAAGTGGTGGACAAGTTGGCCAAACTGGCAGAAGCTGTCAAAGAGAAGAGTGAAAACAATAAGGTTTGATTGTATTATGGATAATTTGCCATTATTAGTTTGATTAACAATTTACATTACGAGATATTCCTTTGTGCGTTGAAATTGAATAACGTAATATGTTTTAGGGGTCTCTTGCTACCGTTGACTTCATGACTCACAATCAAGGATCTAGGGTTTGATTCCCAGGTGGAACTCGCATGGCTGGGCATGCTCCCTTTCACGTAATGCCTCTGTTCACCTAGCAGTAAAAGGAACCCAGGAGTTACACAACTGTTATGAGGGGGTTGCATCTGGGGAAGGACCTCAGTACAAACCTAAAGTAAATATACTTATAGAATGAGAGCTATGCTCATGGTGTCCTGACTTTCTGGGGCTCTTATTGTAAAAACCACAGAACATGTTCACACTTGGCTGTGGCCTTGCATGTCTTGCAAACCCCTTGTTGAGGGGCTTGCCGAGTGTGTCTGTGAGGATGTGGTGTCACTGGGGTCTGCTCTGGGTATGGAGTTTGTACAGCCAGTGGTTGTGGCCCTGGTGGCCTTGCCCAAGATCTTTACCCCTCTTCTTTGGGAGGCATTAGGTGGCATTTTATTTGGCCTATCTTACATGGGCCAGTGTTTTACCTCTCTGGCCACCTTCCTGTTTTTGCCTCTTGTTTTTTCCCAAGGATGTGGTGGCTAAGGTTATTTCAGTGGTGGCCTTCTCATGCTGCCAAATTGATTAGGTGTTGTTTGCTAGGGGTTCTGTTCCCTTTCAGAGGCGGTCTGGTCGGGTAGGGACCTCGCCTGTGGTTGGCCAAGTTGGTCCTCAGGCGAGTCAGGTTTCCGGGCCTTTACGCTTCCTTAGAAGGTTTCCTCCTTCGCTTGACATCGCAATCAGACATCGCAGAAGTCTGGTTCTGCTCGGGGCTCGCACCAACCCTTTTGCAGTTTGCTCCTTTGATGCCATTGTGGGAGATGCCCATTTTGCCAGCTAGTCGTTCCACAATTTGTGGACATTCCAGGTTGTGTTCCGAGGTCTCCGATGGAGCTGGTCAGTTCCTTCCGTATTTTTTGGGGTCAGGTCTGTTGGGTCAGGAGTCCTCCCCAACACTGTTTTATTCTTGCAGATTGGTTGACCACTGTATGGTATAGCTGACCTCATCTCCTATGTGTGTATCCCGGTTCTTTCTGGTCCCGAAGCGAGACTTGATGGACCTCTGGTACATCCCTGCTCTCTTGAGGTCTGAATGCCTTCATTCCCTGCCAAACCTTCTTCATAACCACTTTGGTCTAGGTTACCTGCTATTACAGGCTGGGACTTGATAGTGTCCCCGGACCTCAAGGACATGACTGCCACATCTCTCTTCATCCTGGGTTTAGGAATTGGTAAGGTTTTTTCATGGGGCGTCATGTTTACTGCTTCAGGGTTCTTCTGTTTGGCTTGAACCTGTCCCTCCCACATGTATACCAGGCTAACTAGTGTCGTTGTGGCCCGGCTGCATTTGTTAACCACGGTGATGCACCAAGTTTATTGTGACATTTCACCCCGTGTGCATAAAATAGTGTTTGCAAAAAATTTTTTGATCTATGTAAAAAGATAAATTCCGTTCCCCTAACACGTACATGTAAAGAAAACTAAGAAATTCCACTTACTTTGGCCGTGGGGATATGGAGAAGGGGGTGTGTCACAGTCTGGTCGCCCGTGGTGAAACTCCCAAGGCGGTCGCATGCCTTTCAAGCACTGCAAGTTGCCACAAATATATTTTAAATTGTTCTAGTTCCAATTTTTTTTTTTTTTTTTTTTTTACAGTATATGATGCATATTTGTGTCCTTTACAATATGTATACAGTAGAACGTTCATAATATTCCCTGGAACTGTGATACATGTCAGTAATGTGTCCACAATAAATGTTTGTCGCAATATTACTTGTTAAAAATTCACTAGAATTACAATATGTGTAGTTTCACGCACTTCACAGTAACACACTGTATTACACACTCAGTACATCGGAAGTGAGTGATAATCAACGAAGCAGTCCATGGTACACAACACGACATTGCTCTCGTTGCACCAGGTATAGATAGATTTTTGCCTTCTGTTTCTTCGTTCTGTGTGCTTGCAAATAACGCCTTGACTTTAGTACCTGTAGGTGGTATGTAGCCAAGCTTGTGAAGTGTAAGGTAGTCTTGAAAAGATTATAGGAAAAGATCAGTTTGTTAGGTAGTCTTGAAAAGATCGCTTTGTAAAGAGCCGGTCGGCCGAGTGGACAGCACGCTGGACTTGTGATCCTGTGGTCCCGGGTTCGATCCTGGGCTCCGGCGAGAAAGAATGGGCAGAGTTTCTTTCACATTATGCCCCTGTTACCTAGCAGTAAAATAGGTATCTGGGTGTTAGTCAGCTGTCACGGGCTGCTTCCTGGAGGTGGTGGCCTGGTCGAGTACCGGGCCACGGAGACACTAAAGCCCCGAAATCATCTCAAGATAACCTCAAGATAAGGTCCCTCACTGGAAGAGATTGTCATTCTGGAAGAGATTCGGTCAATCAGGAAGAGATTCAGCTGTTCTAGAAGAGTTTCACCTATTCTTGAAAATATCTATGGAAAACACCACCATGGAAACCGCTAACACTGTTCATCTATGCTACTTGTATCAGATGCATCATCACTGAACCCAGAAAACAATTCATCTATGTATCGTTTAAAAATTTGAGATGGCAAGAGTGGCTCTCAAAGCTACAACTGGGTATGCTTGCAGTATTGTCCTCATCGGTGCTGTATTACTTGCATCCGATCTTTGTTAGGTCCATATTGCGCCTAGCTTCATAAACATCATGACCCTTGTGTTCTTCAAACAATAAGGTCTGAATTTCACCGACAGAGAGCGATCTTTAAACACCGTGTCGGACAGGAGTTTGGGAGCCAAAGGGACGTGTGCCACCCATGGTTACTCACTCGGTACTAACCCAGCCACCAGCATTCTGGGGATTTTTCAAAGATGACTGCCTCTCACTGGAGGTCCCAAGAGTTCATTTCGTACACAACCTACCTTGCAAGTGTTCTGAATGGGTATGAAATATTCAGGTGTTTTTTCGGTTTGTGCAGTTTCCACCAACCGAGTTTTCTCGGTTGCTGCAGCACAGTGGTTAATGGTTTGTGTTGACCTACCTTGACAACTGGCTGGTGTGGTCCTTCAGTCTGACCACATGTCAGCTGACCAGG